CCTGCTGCTGCTGCTGCTGCTGTTCCTTGCCGCTGGCTCGAAGGCCCCAGCGGGCTTGAGGCGGAGCCGCGGGCGGCTCGCCGCAGCCGCAAACCAGCGCCCACCCACCGCCTCCGCTGCTGCTGCTGCTGCTGCTGCTGCTGCTGCTGTGGGGCGCAGGGCAACGTGAAGATCGCCTCCAGCAGGCTGCACATCGGCGAGTGCTTCGAAGTCCCCGAACACTTGGGGACTTTCGCGCTGCGGCGGTCTGGCTCGCTGCACTTCCGGCAGCCGCAGGAAGAAGCAGCAGAGGAGGCTGAGCAGCAGCAGCAGCAGCAGCAGCAGCACAGCAGCAGCAGCAGCAGCAGCGGCGGAGGCGCCGGCGCAGACGCGACCGGCAAAGCCAGAGCCCAGAAAAACCACAAGGCCGCTGCGCAGGTCCGCAGCGGATACGAAGCAAGGGTTTAGGGTTTGGGGTTTAGGGTTTAGGGTTTAGGGTTTAGGGTTTGGGGTTTGGGGAGCGGGGTGCTGGGGAGGGGTTTTCTGCCACGGCAGAGAGACTCAGTTGCTCTAGGGTTTAGGGTTTAGTGAGAGCACGCGGTGCCCAGGGTCTGGGGCCGAGGGTGTAGAGTCTAGGGTTTAGGGTTTAGGGTTTAGGGTTTAGGGTTTGGGGTGTTTGCTGCAGTCTAAGGCTTTAGGCGGGGCGGAGAAGAACGGAAGTGCTGCGCTGGCGGAGGAGGCGCCCATAGACGCATCAACAACGGGCTCTAGTGTACTTCAGCTGCTGCTGCTGCTGCTGCTGCTGCTGCCGCTGCTGCTGCTGCTGCTGCTGCGTCAGTGGACGGCGGGCCGCCTCCCGTGGCTGCGCACGACGGCGCAGCGCCGTACAGTCGCTGCTGCTGCTGCTGCTGCTGCTGCTGTTGCTGTTGCTGCAGGGCAGCAGCTTAACAAGTGCTGAGGGCACGCCGAGGGCTGGAGGCCTCCGGCGCACATTTTCTTGGCACCGAATTAAAGATAAGTTAAGGAGATGAGGACTCCTCAGGGGGTGCAGCAGCAGCAGCAGCAGCAGCAGCTGCTGCTGCTGCTGCTGCAGCTGGCTGGGGCTGTGGTGGTGCTGCGGTGCTGGTGCGGAGGTGTTGGTTCGAGGTGGCTGCTGCGGAGGTGCGGGTGGAGCAGCAGCAGCTGCTGCAGCAGCAGCGGGTGCTGCAGCAGCAGCAGCGTTGGTGGTCGGTGCAGTTGCTGCGTGCGTTGCTGCAGCAGCTGCTGCAGCAGCTGCTGCTGCTGCTGCAGCTGCTGCAGCGAGACGGCCCACTTCCTTCGGTTTGTTCGTGCGTGTGTTTGTGGCGAGAGTGTTCTTAGGTGTACGTACACTGCGGTGTTGTTTGTTCTAGAGATGCAAATCTGCATTTTATTATTTGTGTTCTTTTGCTGCTCGCCGGCGCTGCTGCATGCGTTTGCTTGAGAGGGTTGTGGGGCCAGGTAGTGCGTGGGTTGGGGTGTATGGACAGCTCGAGAAGCAAACGGGAATAGAAGAGCCTCATTTATGATTCATTTTTCATTTCACGAGGCCGCTGCACAGACGCGTAGTTGTATGAGAACGGCAGCAAACAATGTGGAAAAACTAAAAAAGAAATGCGCCGTTTAAGAATTCCCGAGGGTGCTGCAGCGTGCATGCATGCAGCTGGGGTGTACGTACACCCCAGCGAACCAGCCGGTCTGCGGGCGCCGCCAGGTGTACCGACAGCCCGCTGGAGCTCGTCTGTCCGCGATCTGAAGCATCTGATTGAATTAATTAGACTTGAAAAGTACTTTTAATTCTCTTTGAAACTCCAGTGCGCGCCGAACTCGCCGGCGGCGAAGCTGCATGCGCACCAACTGCTGGGGTGTACGTACACCGCAGCGGCGCCGCCAGCTGTACGTACACCCCGCGGACTGGCGCTTCTCCAGCGGCCTCGGGCACAGAAGAGGCCCACTTTTCCTTTTGTTGTTTTCCCCAACTCAACGCAGCAGAGTGTCTTAGCCTGAAATAGACTCCTCTTCGCCAAAAAGGCCATTTAGAGTTCAAGTCCTTTTTGAGAAGCCCACTTCAGAGGCACTCTAATAGCTGAAAAGTCTTAGCCAAAAATCCAATTTTAAAATCAAATTTAAAAATCCAATTTAAAGTTAAAATCCCCTTTTGAAAAGCCCAATTCGAAGACAGTTTTATTTGCTGAAAATGTCTGAAGTGTCTTCAGGCCAAAAGCCTCAGTGGAGCTCCAGGTGTATGTCCAGCGTGGAGCAAATCCACAGTTTCTGTTAATGACTTTTATTCAGTTTATTTGCAAATATATTTCTTTTAAATATATTTCTTTCAACATTTCAATTTACTTACAAAAGTGTTTCTTTTAACTCTTTGAAGAGCCCTTTGCTGCAGCTCTTGTGTCCATTAAATGCTATTTGGGGGTTAAGAGCTTTGAAGTGGAAAACTCGTTTCCAAAACAACAATTCAAATATACTTAGTGAATATCAACAATATATATATATATAATATATATATATATATATATGTATATATATGTATATATATACATATATATATATGTATACATATATATATACATATATATATATATATATATATTATATGCATGTAGACATGCATATCACATATAATATATATATGTATATACATACAAATGTGTGTATATATATACGTTTATATACATATATGTATATGTATGTATATTAACATATAAGCAGTTGCTGCTACTGCTGCAGTTGCTGCTGCTGCTGTCGCTTCGCAGCAAGTCGCAGCCAGCCATTGGCGCAGGGAGAACTATTGCTGCTGCTGCTTCTGCTGTTGCTGCTGCTGCTGCTGCTTCTGCTGTTGCTGCTGCTGCTGCTGCTGCTGCTTCATTTCTTCTGCATTGAGGGTTATGTGTAGCAGCAGCTAGCTACAGCGGCCGGGTGGCTTGCTTGCTGCCTGAGGCTGCAGCAGCAGCAGGCCTAAACCCTAAACCCTCAAGAGGTGTTTTTGCTCGCAGCTGCCTAAACCTAAACCCTAAACCCTAGCCCTAAACACTGGGCCAGTAACCTGGCTCCGTCACAAATTTAGGGTTTAGGGTTTAGGGTTTAGGGTTTGAACAATCACTGCCACGAGAAAGGGCTTAGTATGATTTTGACTCAGCAGATCTTCTTTAATGGCTTTTAATTAAAGAAAAGAGTTGGCCTTTTTGCTGCTAGCTGCCTCTGGGCCTCTCTGCGTAGGAGTAGAGGCAGCAGAGGCACTGCTGCAGCAGCGGTTGTGGCTGCTGCTGCAGCTGCGGCTCTCATCTCTGCTGCAGATGCGGCTGCTGCTGCTGCTGCTGCTGCTGCTGCTGCTGCTGCTGCAGCGGCTTTTGCTGTAATACTTACTGCTTGTTTATTATGTTGTATAGGAGGCCCTTCACGAGAAGAGGGCCCCCCTAGCTCGTCTTTGGTGGGACTTGTGATAAATTTAAAATATATTTTAATAAATATTTAAATATAAAAAGAAAAAACACTTCTACGCGCTGCAGGCAGCATGCAGAGGTAGGGTTCTAAGGCAAACCGCTACACAAGGAGGGGCACTGGCCTGCGGCCAGCTGCTGCCAGTCAGGTATTGTTCAAGAAATAAAAGAACTGTTATATAAAAAAGAATAAATAATAATCAAATAAATGAGAAGTTGTGCAAAAACATGAACTCGCTAGAGCGCTGGCTGGAGTGGCGAGCGACAATAGTTAACTGCGGCGCTCGTTGCTGTTGCTGCTGCTGCTGCTGCTGCAGCTGCTGCAAATTGATAAAAAGTTGTTTTAAAACACTTTTTAATTTTTAATTGAGCTTAAAATCTGGTGATATGACAGTCAGCGAGCCCCGCAGCAGCGACGAGGAACATGTGACCTTGGCGGCAGTGCTCACTGCTGCGCGAGCAGCAGCAGCAGCAGCAGCAGCAGCAGCAGCAGCAGCAGCGCCACAAAGAGGGGAAAAGTTTGGGCGAAAAGTTGAATTTTGCGTTGGTTTTATTCTTTGTGTATACTGTTCTGTTTGTACTGCAGCAGAAAAGGCACAGCTGGCGCTGCTGCTGCTGCTTTTGGTTTGCTGCAGGTCCGTGCTGCTGCGGCTGGTCGGCTGCCCTGTTGCTGCAGTAGCAGCAGCAGCAGCAGCAGCAGATGGTGCAGCTCGCTCGCCTCTTTTTACAAGTGTAAATGCTTGACAACAACAACAGTTTTGTCGCGGCACACTGCAGGTGTACGTACACTTTGTGTCCACACCGCCGACTGCCGCGTGCCGGTGACCTCAAGTGACCCGTCCTTCATTTATTTCTTTTTTGGCTTCTCCAGGTCTTAACCATTTTTAGAGGGGTGGCCAAACGCTGGGTGCTGGCGAGCTGCTTCCGGCAGCTGCAACAGCAGCAGCGTAGCAGCAGCAGCAGCAGTGCCAGCAGCAGCAGCAGCAGCACGGCTAGCCACACCTACTGAGTTGGAGGTAGCTGCTGCTGAAGGCTCCCCAAACACCTTTCTTTAGCTGCAGCTGCTGCTGCAAAGGCTTTAAGCGCGCAGCAGCAGCAGCAGCCACGGGCGCAGCAGCATCTGTGGCTGCGCATTTCTGCTTGCGGCAGCAGCAGCTCGTTGCGAACAGCAGCAGCTCCCTTGACGCAGCAACTGCAGCAGCGTCGCTGCAGCAGCAGCACGGCCCCTTCTAGCAGCTGCAGTTGCAGCTGCAGCTTTCAGTGATGCGGCGGCGTCGGCCGCAGCCTGGGACGGAGGAATCGCGAGGCTCCTCTGCAGCAGCAACAGCAGCAGCAGGAGCAGCGGCAGCAGCAGCAGCAGCAGCAGCAGCAGGGTCGCGGCCTCCGCCGGCCACTCCGTGTGCAACAGCGGCCTGCGAGAATCTCGTTGGACGCACAGGCCCGGCAGGACGAGGAGCAGCAGCAGCAGGAGCAGCAAGAGGCACAGCAGCAGCAGCAGCAGCAGCAGCAGCAGCAGCAGCAAATGACCGCCGCAGCGCAGCACCCTGCCCCATAGCGAAAGTCCCCCCCCACCTGCTGGCGCAGGTGCTGGCAATTGCTGCAGGAGACAGCAGCAGCAGCGAGACGGAGCGGCTTAAGTCAGTTTGTGTTGAGTGGGCAAAGACAATCAGCAGCAGAGAGTTTACTTTTCTTTTGCCGCTGAGGCTTTCTTACGTGGCCCGGCGCCAGCAGCAGCAGCAGCAGCAGCAGCTGCAGCAGCAGCAGCAGCTGCAGCAGCAGCAGCAGCAGCAGCAGCTCCAGCAGTTCTACTTCCGCAATGCCGCAAGCAGCAGCTACCACACCAACGCAGCAGCAGCTGCTGCTGCCGCCGCGGCGCCGCCGCTCTGCGGAATAGCTCCGGCGCTGCTGACAGCAGCACCCGTGCTGCCAGCAGCAGCAGCAGCAGCAGCAGCAGCAGCAGCAGCAGCAGCAGCAGCAGGCCCCCGATTGTCGGGCGCAGTTGGCGGCGGCTGTGCGCTGCTGCCTGCGTCTCGTTTCCCGGTCCCCGGGGCTGGGTTCCCAGCAGCGGGTCTTGGAGCAGCACGAACAGCAGCAGCAGGAGCAGCAGCAGCAGCAGCAGCAGCAGCAGCAATTGGACTCTCTGCAGCAGAAGCAGCAGACCTGCGCGCGCAAGGCACTGAAGGCGGGCTGCTGCTGGACGGCCCCGTGTTTGGCTTGAGCCGCAGCAGCTGCAGCGCCGTGTGTGAGTGGCTGCTGTCAGCAGTGCCGCACACTTCGCGGCTGCTGCTGCAGCAGCAAAAGGGAGACATTGACTATTTGCTGCTGGAGTCTCTGGGGCTGCTGCTGCTGCGCAGCGCGCCCTACCTGTCGCACCTGACGCTGGCGGACCGCCGAGCAGCAGCAAGGCTGCTGCCGCTGCAGCAGGAGTGCAGCAGCGCAGCTGCGGGGCCGAAGCAGCTGCAGCTGCCGGCAGCAGCAGCAGCAGCAACAGCAGCAACAGCACCCGCAGCAGCAGCAGCAGCAGCAGCAGGGCCCCGCGTGCAGCCGCTGACGGCGGCCGAGGAGCAGCGGCTGTCCGCGTGGCTGTCGCAGCGGCAGGAGGAGCGCGCAGCAGCAGCGGGCGCCGCGCCCGCCGCAGCAGCAGCAGCAGCAGCAGCAGCAGCAGCAGCAGCGTGCCCCCGCGTCACCTTTTCGCAACTCAAGTATGTCCGAGCAGCGCATGCAAACTTCCTCAGATCCTTGAGGGCCCCCCAGCTCCAAGAGCTGCGGCTGGACCTGAGGGTACACTGGGAGGGGGCCCCCCTGGGGCCCCGCGGCTGGCCCACTGTATGTACACCTTACCGGGACTTGCTGCTGTTCTTAGCTGCTTCGCAGCCGCCGCTGAAGCTGCTGCACTACCGGGTGTCTGCATGCAGCTGGCTGGACCACTCGCTGCTGCCGCAGCCGCCGGCTCCCGGCAGCAGCAGCAGCAGCAGCAGCAGCAGCCTCGGCAGCAGCAGCGGCGGCGGCTTGCTGCTGCACCACCGCCCCTGGCTGCCGCCGCCGCCCCCGGGCGCCCCAGCCGCTGCGGGCGTCTACCCTTCGCCCGCAGCAGCAGCAGCAGCAGCAGCAGGCGGCGCTGCTGCTGCTGCTGCTGCTGCTGCGGCCGGGGGGCCCCCGCCGCGCGTGCAGCTGCCGCTGCTGCGCCAGCTGGACGTCAGCAGCCCGCTGCTGCTGCTGAGCGTCTGCGCGCCGCAGCTGCAGCAGCTGCTGCTGCGCGCGCAGCGCAGCAAAATCCTGTGGCTCTCTTTTGCTGCTTTCTTGGCCGAAAGTGGAGCAGCAGCACTTAAGACTCTCGAAGTCCATGCCACTCATGCTCCGAAAAACTTGTCGAATTTCGCGAAGACAACTTTGGCCCAAATGCACAGCAGCAGCCATTTGCCGCTGCACCACGCCCGCGCCCTCTTTGCTGCAGCAAAGCCTCCGCAGCAGCAGCCCCCCGCTGCTGCTGCTGCTGCTGCTGCAGCTCCGGGCGACGCGCCCGACGCAGCAGCAGCAGACCCAGCAGCAGCGGCGGAAACAGCAGCAGCAGCAGGAACCTCGTCCTCGCGCGACCAGCCCCAGGAGCAGCAGCAGCAGCAGCAGCAGCAGCAGCTGCAGCAGCAGCGGGGGCTGAAGGCGGCAGCAGCAGCAGACTTCTCCTTCTGGGGCCCCAAAGGACTTTGCTTCCCCTCTCTTGTGTCTCTCACCTGCCACAGCAGCTTGCTGGAGACTTTGCTGTGCGCAAAGGCGCAGCTGCCGCTGCTGCAGCACCTCAGCACTTGGGGCTGCAGGCTGCGCATTGGCCGCTTTCTTGCTGCTGCTGCTTCTCTGAAGACTCTGCAGGTCAGCCGCATTGGCTGCTCCTGCCGCTCCTGCTTCTTGCTGCGGGTCAAGCGCACTGCAGCAGCCAGCAGCAGCAGCAGCAGCAGCCGCAACGGCGCCGCCAGCAGCAGCAGCAGCTCCGGCTGCTTGAGCTGGAGGCAGCAGCCCGCCCCGCAGCAGCAGCAGCAGCAGCAGCAGCCACAAGAGCAAACCATTTCAAACATCGAAGAATACGGAGGCTCTTCAGCCTTTCTCTACAGGGGCTTCGCCTTTCCCAGACTCAAAACCCTCGTCGTAAGCACAAACACCCGCAGCAGCAGCAGCAGCAGCAGCAGCAGTAGTAGTAGCAGAAGTTGCAGCAGCTGTGGTGGTAGATGCAGCAGCAGCAATCGCTCCAGCAGCAGCAGCAGCAGCAGCAGCACTAGTAGTAGCAGACGTTGCAGCAGATGTGGTGGTAGATGCAGCAGCAGCAATCGCCCCAGTAGCAGCTGCAACACCTGCAGCAAATAATAAAGTAGCAGCAGCAGCAGCAGCTGTTGCTGCTCGCTTCATTAGCAGCAGCAGCAGCAGCAGCAGCATGAGTTTGTAGCTGCACGTGCTGCTGTATTCTCGGAGTTTTCCGTATCTTTTCCACTTTCCACTTTGCATCGGGCGCAGTCTGCGTTGTAGGTACCTAAGTGCAATTGCTGCTGCTGCTGCTGCTGCTGCTGCTGCTGCTGCTGTTTGCTGCAGCTTCGTCCGGAGACCGGCGACGGGCCCCGCGTGTGGGGGCTGCTGCTGGAGGGCCTTTTCCCGCAGCTGCAGCAGCTCATATTTGACGGGCGTTTATTTCATGCCTTCAAGGACGAGCGGCTGCTGCGCGCCCACGGCTCTGCTGCAGCAAGTGCTGCTGCTGCTTCGGCAGCAGCAGCAGCAGCAGCAGCAGCGACTTCCTCGGGGGGCCCCGCAGCGTCGCTCTGCGAGGGGGCGGGGGTGTGCCCCCACAAGGGCTGCTTCGCGCTGCAGCACCATCAGCAGCAGCACTTCTTCCACCTGCTGCGGGGAGGCATGCAGCAGCAGCAGCTGCTGCGGCAGGAGGCAGCGCGGCCGCTGCCGCTGCTGCGGCAGCAGCAGCAGCAGCACTTCAGCCCGCAGCAGCGCCGCTACCTGCAGCACAACTGCTGGATGCCCCCCACGGGCTTCGGGATAATCCCCCCTGGCGGTTTGCTGCCTGCTGCTGGTGGCTGCAGCTGCTGCTGCTGCGCGCCTGCAGCAGCTCGGGGCTGCGCAGCAGCAGCGGCAGCAGCAGCAGCGCTGGAGGCCTGCGGGGCGTCCCCGCACGCAGCCGCTGCGCCGTCGCCGCCGCAGCCCCCCGCCGCAGCAGCAGCAGCAGCAGCAGCAGCAGCAGCAGCAGCAGAAGCCAGCCGGCTGCGAGAAGCAAGCCCGCTGCGGAAGCTGGAACTCGTGGCTGGGCAGTCGCTGCACTGCGGCGACTTGCTGGCCTACGCAGAAGCCGCGCTGGCGAAGATGGGGGCCCCCCCTCCCCCCAGCAGCAGCAGCAGCAGCAGCAGCAGCAGCAGCAGCAGCAGCAGCAGCAGCAAGGCGCTGCTGAAGTGGGCACTGCCCAAACTGCACACTGTCGTGGCCCCCTGCCTCAGCGCCGAAGGCGAAGAGGCGCTTTCCCTCTTCCGCCATTTAGGTGTACGTACACTCGGGACTCACTTGGGCTATGTTTGCTCCCAAGCCACCATGCAGCGAGTCACCAAGGCTTTGCCCCTCATGGCCACTGTGGGGCCCTTCGTGCAGCAGCAGCAGCAGCAGCAGCAGCAGCAGCAGCAGCAGCAGCAGCAGCAGCAGGAGCGGGAGCGGGAGCGGGAGCAGGAGCGGGAGCGGGAGCAGGAGCAGCAGCAGCAGCAGCAGCAGCGGCAGCAGCGGCAGCGGCAGCGGCAGCGGCAGCAGCGCCAAGTCTGGAAGCAGCGGCCTGCTGCTGCTGTGCCCATTTCTTCGCACTTTATTTGCTGCGGAACTTCTCAAGAAAGAAATGGAAGTTTGGGGGCGAAGTGGCAGTCCTTGGTGCTCACTTTCTTCCAGCTGCAGCAGCGCCAGCAGCAGCAGCAGCAGCAGCAGCAGCAGCAGCGCAAGCAGCAAAACCGACACTCCAACAGCACGCGCAGATGCAGGGACGAGCAGCAGCAAACCAGACGCAGCGCCCAGCAACCTGCCAGGCGGTGGCCCGCTGCAGCAGCAGCAGCAGCAGCAGCGCCAGCAGCAGTAGCAGAAGAAGTAGCAGCAGCAGCAGCAGCACAGAGGCCTCCAGCAGCAGGTGCGGCAGAAAGCGAGGCACTGACAGGCCCAGCTGCTGCTGCGCCAAACCTGCTGCCAGCAGCAGCAGCAGCAGCAGCAGCCACACCAGCGCCTGAGGCGGCAGCCGCAGCCACAACAGCAGCAGAGGCACCCGATAGCACCACAGCAGCAGCAGCAGCAGCAGCAGCAGAGGCAGCAGCTTAGGCAGGAGAGCCGCAGCCTGTCAAGATTGAGACCCCTCTGCTGCTTCGCCGCGCTGCCCGCCAACTTGCTGCTGCTGCTTGCTGCTATGTAGCTGCTGCTAGTTGCTGGCAGCTGCTGCTAAGTAGCTGCTGCTGCTACGTAGCTGCTGCTAGCTGCTGCAGCAGCAGTGTCACTCTTTTTGGCTCTGATCTTTCCTCCCCCTTCGTCGGGGCTTTTGGCTGGCAGCAGCAGCAGCAACAGCAGCAGCAGCAACAGCAGCAGCTGCTGCAGCGCACGCGTCGCGTCCGTCTGCAGCAGCAGGCGGGCCGGGCCCTCTTCAGCTGCTGCTGCGACGCGCGCAGCACTTGCTGCTGCTGCTGCTGCTGCTGCTGAAGGGCCCCAAGCCCCACAGGGCCCCAGAGAAAACCTTAAGGGTTTTCTCTCTCCAGCAAATCTGGAAATGCAGAATGCATGCAAAATAAATGTATTTATGCAATATTTATGTTATCAATTTGCTGCACTTGTGTTGTTTTATAGATTCTGCAAATGCTGCTTCATTTTGTATGACTTGGAAGGCCCGGGGGCCCCCATGGGGGCCCCTGGGGGCCCCCCTGGGGGCCCCTGGGGGCCTCGGGGGCCCCGCAGCGGCTCTGCGGCGCTTTTGGGGCAGCAGCAGCAGCAGCTGCTGCTGCTGGGCTTGCTGCTGCACGCAGCAGCAGCGCGGGCTCGAAAGGCAGCTGCTGCTGGGTTTGCTGCGTGCTGCAGCGCGAGCTGGGGCAGCTGCTGCTGCTGGGCTCGCTGCTGCACTGCAGCAGCAGCTGCTGCTGCACGCAGCCAGCCCCCAAAGAGCGTGGGCTGCTGCAGCAGCAAAGCTGCCGCTTTTTATTTGCTTCTTTTTAGTCAGGGAAAGTGCAGCAGCAGCAAACTTGTGTCACCCTCTTGGCTGTACATACACCCCAGCTCTGGGAGTGGGGGCGCTGCTGCAGCAGCCCAAAAGCTTTATGTCCTCTATTTGCTGCTGCAGCAGCAGCAGCAGCAAATGTAGCTGCCCTCTTCAGGGGCTGCCGCTGCGGCCCCAGGAGCAGCAGCAGCTGCAGCGGCGCGCCGGGCTGGCTGCACACGGAGAGTTGCTCTATGGGCTCTGCAGTTTGCTGCTGCTGCTGCTGCTGCAGCAACGCGCTGCTGCTGCTGCAGCAACGCGCTGCTGCTGCTGCAGCAACGCGCTGCTGCTGTAGCGGCAGCGGCACACTGCAGCCGCGACGCTTTAAAGGTGCTGCTGCTGCTACTGCAGCATCCTCTTTTTGCTGCTGCTGCCTGCAGCAAGAAAACTCAACTAGCAACTAATACGCAAAGGACCACAAAAATAAATTAACTAAAAAAAATATTGAAAAGACAGAAGCAGCACAAATAGGCGCTTTCAGGTGTACATACAGCAGCAGCAGCAAGCACAAAGAGCAGCAAGTAAAACTAAACACGCCGGAGAAGTAGCTGCCCACTACGTAGTGTCAGGTTCGTGCACTATAGTGTGCTGCTGTTGCTACAGCTGCTGCTGCTGCTGCTGCTGCTGCTGCTGCTGCTGCTGCTGCTGCTGCTGCTGCTCGTTGTTAGCTGGTGCTGCATAAGCCTTCTGGGCAGAAGATGAAGCCTGGGGGCTGCAGGGGAAAGAAGACAGAAAGGGAGGGGCTGGACAAGCAGCAGCAAACTGGGGGCTGCCGGCTTCGCTGCAGCAACAGCAGCTGAGAAGCCCCAGTAGGCAGCAGCAGCTGTGGCGGCAGCGGAGGCAGCAGCAGCAGCAGCAACAGGCTTCTGCTTGGCTCGGCACTCGCCTGAATTTGCTGTGAAGACGCAACATATTAAAACAGCAAATAGAGCTGCTAGTAACACTGCTGCAGCTGCTGCCGCGCAAGCAGCCATCGAGACACGTGCAGCAGCAGCAGCAGCAGCGGCAACAGCAGAAGCGGATGACGCAGAGATAGAAGGCCCTTCTCAATGGCAGCGACAGCAGCAAAATAAACATATATATTTCCAACACAGCCGAAGACTGTATCCAATTGCAGCGGCAAGAGCTGCAGCAGCAGCAGCAGCAGCAGCAGCATCACGTGCCCACTGGGTCCAGCCGCCATCCAGGCGCAGCCGACAGCAGCAGCAGCCGCAGCAGCCGCGGCCGCCGCCTCTAAAGCTGAGGCTTCTCCAACAAAATATTGAAATAAATAACAGAAATAGATTTTAATTACGAGGGGCAGAAGGACAGCAGGGAAGCCGAGCCTCTCTTCTCTGCAGCGGCTGCTGCAAGCAGGGGGGCGCCGCGGATCCAGGAGCTGCAGCAGCAACAGCAGCAGCTGCTGCTCCTGCAGCAGCAACAGCAAGAGCAGTAACAACGAAACGCCAGCTGAGATTGAGTCTCGTTAGCTGCGTGAGCTCTGCCGCTGCAGCCGACCTGATGACTGGCAAGGCATCAGCGGCAGCAGCAGCAGCAGCAACAGCAACAGCAGCAGCAACAGCGACAGCAGCACGGGCAGGCGCACTCAAGCCTCAAGACAATCTACATTCATGTGTTTTTGTGGGCAGCAGCCCTTGTAGCTCCAGCTGCAGCGGCAGGAACTCCTGCAGCAGCTGGTACTGCTGCAGCAGCAGGAACTGCTGCAGCACCAAGCCCAGCAGCAGCTGCTGGGCTGGGCGTTGCCCACACACATGGCTTAGCTGCCCCATAAACGCCAGCGTGGCTTTAGTAGAAGCAGAAAGGGCAACACAGGCAGCAGCAGCAGCAGCAGCAGCAGCAGTAGCAGCAGCAGCAGCAGCAGGACCAATGCAGAAAAATGGACAGTCCACTAACCTGTCCACCAGCTGCTGCGCCTGAGAATGCTTCTGTGCCTTCGTCAGCAGCGCCCGCAGCAGCAGCAGCAGATGCTGCAGCAGCAGATGCTGCAGCAGCAGATGCTGCAGCAGCAGATGCTGCAGCGGCAGCAGACGCTGCAGCAGCAGATGCGGCAGCAGCAGCAGCAGCAGCCGATGGGGGCAGCGGCGCTGCCTCTGCTGTCCCGCTGCTGCTGCTTCCTGCTCCGCCGGAAGCAGCAGCACTTTCAACAAATGGGGCTTCCCCAGCACTATCAGTGGCAGCAGCTGCAGCAGCCGATGTTGCAGCAACAGCAGCAGCAGCAGCAGCAGCAGCAGCAGCAAAGGAGACCACCTTACCCCTCGTCGCCCGTGTTCTTGGCTTTGAAGACCTCGCACTGCAAAACCAGTTGCAGCAGCAGAAGCAGAAGCAACAAGAGCAGCAGCAGCAGCAGCAACAACAACAGCAACAAGAAGTGCAGCGGGAGACAGCGGTGGCTGCAGGCAGCAGTGGCTTGGCCGCAGCCACCAGCAACGCTGGGCAGCAGCAGCAGCAGCAGCAGCAGCAGCAGCTTGCCAGCAGCAGCAAACCCAAATCTGCTGCAGCAAGGAGGTTTAAATACTTAGGTTCCTGGCGCCCTTTCACAGAGGATGGCAAACGCCCATCGGTGGACCCCAGCAGCAGCAGCAGCAGCAGCAAAGCGGCACCACCAGAAAAGCAGCAGCAGCAGCAGCAGCAGCAGCAGCAGCAGCAGCAGCAGTTGCCGCCGCTGCGTAGGATGGGCGTCTGTATACCTGCTCCTGTGTGCCCTCTAAATGGCTGCAGCAACTGCACCGAACGCTTGCGTGTGAAGCTGCTGCTGCACTACAACGGCAGCAGCAGCAGCAGCAGCAGCAGCAGCAGCAACGAGCCTTCAAAGAAGTCAGCTTCTGGCGGCATGCTGCACAGTCCAACGTTGAACTCTCTCTTTGAGAGCGCAGCCCCGAGCAAGCCCAGCAGCAGCAGCAGCAGCAGCAGCAGCAGCAGCAGCGCCACAGGCGAGGGCGGAGGCGGAAGCCTTGTTGCAGTGCAGCAGCAAGGCCTGGTTTGCTGCAGCGCAGCTACAGTGCAGCAGATTCCTGCTGCTTATAAGCCTTTGATTTCTCTGCGCATTTCTCAATGTGGCTTGAGGTTTTTGCTGCCGCAGGAGCCTCCTGCTGCTTGCTGCTGCTTCAGGGAAGGCGGCTGCAGCAGCAGCGAGACCCGTTGCTGCTGCTGCACTGCGCCCTGCACAAGCAGCAGCAGCAGCAGCAGCAGCAGCAACAGCGGGGCTGCGAGTTGCTGCTGTTCCTGCGAAGCAAACGGCCAGCCAGAAGCACTGCCGCTGCATCCTGCGGTCGAGGTGAGCTGCAGCAGCAGCGGCGGATTCGCCACAGCAGCAGCAAACTGCAAGCAGTAGCTGCAGCAACTGCAGCAGCAAACTGCAAGCAGTAGCTGCAGCAGCTGCTGCTGCTGCTGCTGCTCTGTGACACAGGCTTTGCTGCCCGTGTGTGTGGTGCAGCCCTCCTTCTTCTGCTGCCTGCAGCAGCTGCAGCAGCTGGACCTGCGCAACAACAACTTAGAGGCGATTCCTTCTCACCTGCATTTGCTGCAGCAGCTGCAGCAGCTGCTGCTAGACGGCAACCGTTTGCTGCTGCTGCCTCCCTGCATCTGGCGGCTGCCCCGCCTGCAGCTGCTGTCAGCCACTTCAAACTTCATCGAGCACATTTGTCCTCCTCACCAGCAGCAGCAGCAGCAGCAGCAGCAGCAGCAGCAGCAGCCCAATGGAGAGCAGCTGCTGCAGCAGCAGTCGCAGCTCAAGGAGCTCAGGCTGACGTCAAATGCACTGGACTCCCTCTTTTTCTTTGCTGCTGGGTGCCACGCAGGCAGCATGCAGCAGCAGCAGCAGCAGCAGGCAGCTGCAGCAGACTGGAGCTGGCTCTGCGGGCGCGCTCCAGCAGCAGCGGGAGCTGCGGCCCAGAAAACAAAAGCAGCCCCAGCAGCAGCAGCAGCAGCAGCAGCAGCAGCTGGAGCGGCGGCCGCAGCGGAGGCTGGAGCCACAGCAGCAACAGCAGCAGCAGCAGCAGCAGCAGCAGATGAGGGAGACATTTACTTTCGCTGCGTTGCTGCAGTGCAGCTGGAGTGCAACCCCTGCACTCGGCTGCCTCTGTGTCTTTACCGTCTTGCTGCTGCGCTGCAGTCTTTGGCTTTAGACTGGTGTGCTTATTTGCTGCCAGAGGGCCGCGTGCCGCAGCGGCTGCTGCAGGGGCAGCAGCTGCTGCTGCTGCTGCAGCTGCTGCAGCGCATCCACCACTGGCTGCTGCAGCAGGGCGAGCAGCGCGCAGCAAGAGACGCCTACTTGCTCAGCAGCTTCTGCTGCACCCGCTGCGGCAG